ACTAAATTACATTATAGTAAAAGTACCGAAACTCTAGCATTAAAGTTAGAACAGTCACGAAGTTCAAGAATAGAGTGAAGCCATAAGTGGATTAGCCTTAACGTTACCCGTGAAACCTTAACGACAATCTCGCTCAATCTCACGTTAATACAGCATCTAAAAATATCCTCGCCAGTATCTCGCGAGTTCCGGTCCCTCCAAGACGCCACGCACTCGTCCCCAAAGCCAGTAAAGTTCAAAGGACGGAAGCGCACATTGTACTGTCATAACTCGCTGGGCCAGTGCTAGAAATAAATGGCCCTCCTACAATTCTACACAGCGTCCGCGTGCGTGAAATTTATTTTAAAAAATACAAATTTCTTAAACTCATCGTAAACCAACTTCGTCCAGTCTAATATACATAAATATCTCTTAACCCGTCAATTTTCGAGTACCATAAGACCTACTATAAGTCTCCGTATTCCAAGTATATATATAGCATAGGTACTATATGTGTACTAGTTCAGCTAAATTGTATCAGGTTTATAATATCGTTCACATACTCCCCTGGCGCAGCACCTTACGCATCCAAGGATTTAACCTTGTTCGCGTATCGTAAGTTTCGGGTTTCTGGTGTCCCAGTAGGCGTGGGTATAGCGGGCAAGACGGCCGCAACAAACCCGCCCGTGACTCGGGAGCCCCAGAACGAGAGAGACGAGAGAGAAGAGAGCAAAGGAGAGACATTCGGTATGAGAAACGCGTAGCTACGCAGCAAGCCCGTAGCTCAAGTTGGATACCCTCCTCCAGCCTTGCCAAGGTAGGTAATCCTCTCGGGGGCGTGAGTTACTGCCTGCGGCCCTCGCGCTGTGCTCTCCCAGCCCTCTGGCTCTCATTCCCGTTCCCGTCTTTCCCTTGTACCACCCTGTAGAGTAAAGTCCTCTGCCAGGGCTTTCCTTTCCTCATACCGTAGAAGACCTATTCCTCGAGGTTCCGCACCGTACCCCCCCCCCTTCGTCTTCTTCTTCTTCAGCCCGATCTTCTCCTCTTTGGGGGATGCTACCAGGGAGAAAGGTTGGAGAAAGTTGCCGGGGATACCGCGCGGCACAGCTGGAACGCATTAGTCAACCGTAATTAATAAGTTATAGTGAGGCTAAGTAGGGAAACGATGGGCGACTGTAACGCGCACGTAGTGGAAGCACGCGATGCTCCCGCCGACACCTTCGCAAGGGGTTGCTCTTGGCTTCTTCGAGATGGTCCTCATGTAAATGCGTGCCCCTCGTAAATATCGGCTGTCCGACAAGGCCCGTAACCCGGCGTGCTAGGGAATATAGGGCTGGATGTGGGGTAACAAGGGCCAGCTGGAAATCCGCCCCTTCGCTTTACCACCCACTAACACTTAGGACTGCCTGCGGCTTCCATGGTTCCATTTCCATGATGTCGCTTAAAGTATAGTAAAATGGTTGCCTTTGATCGGACACCCTTGGCGATGCTAATTTCGATGTTTTATGAACTGACGACTGATTTTTTTTTTTTTTTTTTTAACAACAGTACCGACCCTGGATCCTGCTGTTATTTATATGATTTTCTTTGCCCTCGATTATTTATGTTGTTTATGTTTTGACAGGTATACATATTCAATGAGAAATTCTAAATGGATTTATTTTATATTCATTTTCGTAGAGTTTTAGTCGTTTTATTTGTTGGTTTGCGTATCCAATTTTTGGAGGGGTAGCCGATGGTCGATTAAATAAAATATTTTGTACGGGGTACGTATAGTCATTTCGAAAAATGTTATATATCATACGGATTTGTCTTACCAGAAAGTATTATGGTAAAGTATATCGGCTACCCTGCGGCAGAGGAGAAGCGATCTGGTAACAAATTGGTATCGCAAGAAACTTACGGTTCGGCGATATCGCAATTTTCGCTGAAAGGGGATGATGACGTATTGGGTACATAGAAATCTTACAAACAAAAAGCTCTTCGGCATACGAGGGTAGGCTTTCGAGATTAAGCCTAAAGGAAATATATCTCACGGTAAATCCCGTGAGGTTCTACTATTCCATCCCGAGCAATTCACTTACTTTGATTTGATTGGTCCCATGTATGATCCGCTTTCCTTGTATAAGCTTCTTCCTCGTGCGGTATTGGGGAATAGCGGGCTATGGAGGAGAGAGAGAGAGAGGGAGAGAGAGAGAGAGAGAGAGAGAGAGAGAGAGAGAGAGAGAGAGTTGAGGGTGGACCAAGGGTGGCTTTGGCATCGTGTTTTGCGAACCGCGAGTAGAGTTATACCAGCCAGAATCCCTGGCAGCAATCAACGTATTGGCTCTTCTTATTAGAGTTGCCAACAATCCACCCCCTTTTATGGGGAGGAATACGTCGAAACTTGGTATTCGCATCCTCCCTTATCGTCAGATTTCCTTCATCGACGAAAGAGCCGCAGCCATTTGAAGAAAATGCCCGATTACCCCGTACGGCCGTTTTCTCTATTTCGTGACGTTGCTCCATTTTGAAATTCATCCCTTTGTTGATTTTTAGTCCAGCGAACTTTTGCAACCGATATACAGTCAGTGCATATAACATTGGTGTCGTAATATATTGAATCAAACGCAACTTTCATCCAAATTGCGATATAATTTCATTGAATATATTGCCCTTGCATAACTCTACAGAGTAGTAGTATCCCCGAGTACAGTTTTTCATGCAATTTTTCCATATTTGAAATTCGCATTAAGAACGGGACATATTGTATCATCGACGCGATAACGTAGCCGAACAATTGCATTTCCAATACATTTTCTCCCCACAGGGTTGAAAACGGGATAGCAGGATTGCTTGGAGCGCTGAAAGCATCCGCATAAGAGAAACCGATCGGAAAGTGATTTCCCGAAGCGGAAACGTGCGGATTTTACCGGATACACGTCAGCAGCGAAGGATCCGTGGAACGATTTCTCCTGGTTTTTTTTTTACAGTCTCCCTCCCTCTCTCTCTTTCTCAGCCGCGTATACCGTAGGAAGGGATGAAAACTTTCAACGAAATACGCGAGGGCATTTTTCAAGGAATGCATGAATAACGTTCAAATATATTTCCTTCCTCTAAACGCGCGCACGCTCGGCCACCCTCTCTTACTCCCGGTTCTCCCGGTTCTTACGCCCCTCGGATGAAACACATTTCACGACTATGCCGCGAAATTTATCCACCCTCTTGGTTAAACAGCCACGCACGCTTCTTCTTAGTTCTCCGAAAAAGAAAGCGTAGGAAAGCCTCAGACATGCTTCTAGAAAGATGCGCGCGCACCTCCGGCAAAGGGAACGGGAGCAAAGTAGAGCGAGAGAGAGTGAGAGGGGGGAAAAGGGAGAGAAAGAATAAGTCGGGGTTTGTGGATGGCGAGCGCAAGTAGAAGAGAGGGTCGCGAGCCTGTCACATTTTCTACTTTGCGGAGACGTATGAGGGCGGCTTAATTGGGAGAACCACCCCCTCTTTTATTTATAAGTTCGGGAGTCTATCGCTTGTGACCCCTAACGGCGGTGGCGTTTTGCAAGGTGGAGACCCCGAGACACGAGGACGGGGGTTGGTCGCGAGCAAACGGCCACTAAGGGTGAGGCAAGAAGGAAGAGAGAGAAGGAGAGAGAGAGAGAGAGAGAGTGAGAGAGAGAAGAGAAAGGCACCCCTAGCAGGCTGTGTGACAAATAACCCTTATAAACGCCGCGCCATAACTCCTACCCCACACTGAGCCGCGAGCATGGCGACCTGGAATGAGAATCATGGGGTGGCGACCAGGGTGAGGGACAGGGTGGCCCGTTGGGCGCCGGGCGCCGGGCCACTTGATTACGTCGCGATAATAAACATGACGCCGATATGAACTCTGTTTCGCGTGTGTGATGCAACTTCCGCGGTCAGTCTGTCCCACTCTTTCTCACTCTCGTCTCTCCACGCTCGCCGTAGGCTACGGCGAGACTTCGCACACTGCCAATAATAGATTGCTATATAGATATCGGCTGTTTGTTGGGGGATGATTTTCGTGTTTTGCCCCCTCGTTATGATTTCAACCCACTTGGCACGTCATTTTTGAGCAAAAACCAGTCATAGTTTAACCCTATATTACATTGACGAAGAAATCGTTAGCTTCCGATGATTTTACTGTAATACTCGTGTAACGACCCTGAAATGTGATTCTTTGTTACTGTAAAAATGTGAAAACAGGAATCTTCAACGCTTGGATATAACTTAGTGTATAGCTATACGAGTTTATTCACTATATGGTATGTACCGGGGAACAGGGTGAAAGGTAGTGTGCTAGGGGCTGGTGTAGTATATATACAGTGCCGGCAATGGCAGAGGTGAAACGGGGGTTTTACGAGGCAGTAACGGCCGATAAGGTGAGCTTGCGCCCCCAACGGGGCTTATTCCACTACTGTACCCAAGTGGCTGTTCAACAGTACCTACCCTCTAGCATACTCTCTCCGCCACTGCGACTCCACTACACTTTATTTAAAACCATTTACACGTCTGTACACTGGCGACTGGGAAAAGTTTCACTTCTGCTTGTATGGGCTGCAACTCGTGTATACGTACGTAGGTATTCGGGTTCGTTTGCGCGAAAAATTTTTTTTACTATCGTTTGTATCTGTATGAATATCATTGTCAAATAATATTCAGAGATATTCTCTAAAGACTGTACGAATTTTTATCTAATCATCTATATAATCAAATGAAAAATTGAAACAATGAAAATTCTGGTGATAAGCGAATTTATATTGTACGATATATGTTCGTCTCTGGATGGGTGCTACTATAATTTACTATAAGTAGATTTTCCAAGTAATTCGCATTTAATGACTGCGACACGCATTCTTATCCGTATCCCCATTAGTATACTCACACGATACCCAGTAACGTAAACGTATTCGTATACGTTTCTCGTGCCGATAAGCCAAACGAAGTAGCCTAACTAGTTCCACGTATAACAAAATTGTCTTATTTTACATTGCTTGACCATTTCTCTCTTTTTGAACTTTCAGGAGCGAACGGGCTGCGCAGGCGCGGCCGCCAGACCTACACGCGCTACCAGACCCTCGAATTGGAGAAGGAATTCCACACAAACCACTACCTCACCAGGCGGAGGCGGATCGAAATGGCACACGCACTCTGCCTGACGGAAAGACAGATTAAAATTTGGTTCCAGAATCGACGGATGAAACTGAAGAAGGAAATACAGGCGATCAAGGAATTGAACGAGCAGGAGAAACAGGCTCAGGCACAGAAGGCCGCAGCGGCGGCAGCCGCAGCCGCGCATCAACAGCAAGGGGGTGGCGGAGGACCCGAAGGGGGTAACTAGGGGTACGCCCTGCACCGGAGCCCTCCTGACCACCCTGCCGCCAATCCACACCACCCTCTGCTAGCACCGCAATGTACACAGCTATACTAAGGTGAGTCCTTGGCTATTGCATCTTATTCGTTAACGCGCAAACTTTTTTCCCACTTCATTCTGATTCTTAATAAAATATACGGACTGCTATTTTCCATACGGATGCTTGCTAACGCGGTGCCGTCCTCTCTCTCGCTCTGTATCTCTCTTTCTCTCTCAGGGGTGAAATACACAAAGCATACCTCTTGCTATTCATCGAGCGTTCACCCTGTAAAACTATCTTCGAACGGCATATCTAATGAGACTAGACCGCGACCGAGCGTGCCTTCATAATTCGCTAACTTGTTCCATTCGTATGCACCGTGCTTGCAATAAACACGTACCTAAAAACAGATAGTGCTGCAGACTGTGTCATTGCTTTTACAGCCCGAAACGTTTGCTGCTTTTGAAACGTGCTCTCAATTTCTGCATCCTTGCCGTGCTGTGGGTGGTGAATTGAACGTGTCTTTGGAAAATTTATTTTTCTTAATTTTTTTTTTTTGAATTAAGGAATTTCAAGTATAACTATCGTTATACACTACTTACACTTAACTTATGCAACTATCGTATTAGAGAATAACTATATATATATATATATATATATATATATATATATATACACTTAATTTGAGTAACTTTAAATTTGATTATACTTTTGTGTTATACGAGGAAAGTGGCAGAACAATTTTTTTAGTGTTTTGTATCGCCTGTGTTATTCGCGACGGGGAAAGGAAAGTAGAAAGTTTTTGCAGGTAGAAAGGAAAGAAAGAAAAAATGGGAAAGGCCGAAAAAAATAAAATACCGAAAACCCATTTGAGAGGTTTTCGTAACGCTATCTTATTTTTTTTTTTTCTTGTACCTTCTGTTCCATTGTCCGGTGCACTTTCACTCGAGAAAGTCTACTGTTCATTTTGGAAAATTGTAGGGTTTTTTTCGTATATGTGTATATATTATATATATATATTTAAGAAATATCGTTCTCATTATAAAAAGTTATATTCGACCTTCCCGACGCTTTCTCTACGTCTTCTGTCTCGTTCTTCCTCTATGGGATGTTTTGCTTGGCAGCAAAAAAAAAAGCGGTCTCGAAACAGTAAGCAGGAGGAAAAAATAGGAGAAAAGGGAAAAGACACCTTCTGTCGCAGGAACGATACCAACGGCACCGTAGTGCATTGCGCATTCCAGGAACGGCGGTGCCCTGTCTTCGGAAGTGGATGCTGCTTCCAGATGTTTTCAGAAATAACGACACTTCGCCGGGCTCCTCACCGAAAAAAAAGAACGTTTCTCCACCGGTTAGGCCTTGATTTGTGTAACAGCTTTGAACCCCGAAATAAGCGTGCTTATCCACCTATACCAACGCGTGGCACGTCATTCCTTTTCTGAACTTGGAGCAGCTACCAGACTCTGAAAATTTGTATATTCATATGGGTATTTTTGTATAAATACATACATACATAAAATTTAATCTAAACTAATAATAAAAAAAAATTGGTAATAATTTTGAATTTGAAAAAAAATTTTAATCAAAAATACGTACCGTGAATGATTTTCGATATTTTCATGGAAATACAGAAAATAAAAAATTTTTTTTCTTTACTGCTAGATCGAATCATAGGGTAGAGGAACGACTATGTATCCGGCGTATGGTAAATAGAGCTTCGTGACGAATGCACTGTGTAAAAAGTACCTTGAGATACGAGGCACGACTATGAGAGTAAATCTGGAAGGGCTGTGGTAGTACGTATATAGGTATGGTACAGTGTGCTGTGGGCATTACTCATTTTTTTTTCTTTTTTACTTTCCTTTGGTTAGGTCGTTACCAGTTTGTTTCTGTACAGGTATAAAGGGAAAATTAAAGGCGCATACATCGATTGAATGAGCCGCCATAAAATCCGTGGTCCAAACGTCAAATTAAATTTCTCCCATTCAAGTAATTTTTATGGGCTTGTCGACAGCCATACAATCCTGTAAGATAATCAAGGGGGCAGCCATTGCCAAGTTAGTGGTCCATTCAAATACGGTACAGGTGCCCCCTTGAATGTGGTTTAACGAGTGCCCGGGACCGGCCACTTGAGCCATATTCGTGCGCAATGGCTGTCGTTTTCCTTTATGGTAGTAAGTTGATATTATTGGCCATTTTGTGGAAACCCCACTATTCGTGCGTAGACGGCTGAGTTGGATTAAGAGAGGCTGTGGTTCGGCTTACATAATAATTTCTATGCTTTTCCGAGTGTGTAGTAATGCCAGATAAATCTGAGTAGTGAAAAAATAAAGTGAAGTAGAGGATAGGACGGAAACGACTGATTAAAATAATAGATGCATTTACGAGTGTCGTTTTAAGAACAGTAATTAATTTTGATGTCATTAGAAGAATTTTAAGGGCAGATTTAAATAATGATAGCAATATCAAGTTCGAATGGGATATTTAGATCGGTTAGAGATTGAGTATTGGCTCGAGTGAATGATATACGTTTTAAGTACTACTTACTGACAGAACCGGTTGCCTTTCGAATGATTGTACAACGAGAATGATTGGTTAGAATTTCCTGATGACGAGAAATAATCGAGAGTTAACCGGATACAGCTACCTAGTCGTTAGGCTTAAATTAGGAAAAATTTATTGATGGATGCTAATACGGAATTTCCATGTGTGTTAGGTAAGCCTCCAGGAATAATATATTTCTCGGCGTCTTCGACCGAGACACCGAATCGCAAAGACAGTTTGAAAGCTAATGAAATTGTACCGATTTGTAATAATCTCAATTGGTTCGTCGGCAGATTGCCACTGAGGTTATGAAGGATTCGTAGTAAATCGTTGCATCGATATGTGTCAATTACAATCCCCTCGCGCTAATGCGATTAATTTGCTTGCCGGGAGGTTAAAAATCCAAGCGAGATTCCTCTCTCGACGGGAGACAGTTATGAAGTAGCGTAGGAATTATGGAGTGGCAGTGCCATCTAGCGGTGATAACAACGTTTGCTTTAGTTATGGCTGCTCACCCTCCTCAGGTTTGTGGGCGTGGTCTGAAGGCGGGAGCAATAAGCAAGGGCTGGTCTGTGTGACGAGACAATTTTAACGTAATCTTCAAGAAATTCATTGAACGTTTTTACTACTTTCCATGAGTTTCCGACCCAGCGACTAACGCCAGACTCACAGAGAATTGTGCAAGTCGCGATGAAATTACCTATGAAATCGTGGAAATACGTTTTACGACGTGTAATACTGCGCGGGACTACTTTACTAGTAAACTATAGAACCGACAGGTGGCAGTAAGGGTCTCTCGTTATGGGTCGATACTGAATTTATCTACCTTACCGACTCTCCATCGGTACGCCACTAATTCAAAGTGTGCTCTGCTACCATCTAAGCCTGATGTCTCACTTGTTAGTTCAATGATCGTCCGTAACGCGCTTTATGGTTTGTTTTTATCGACGCGACTATATAGCCTTCTCTCCATTCTTAGTTCTTATTGTTAGCCACTCTGAGCCAACGACGGTCATATATGCTTCGTCCTTATTCTCACTCGATGCGTACTGCCCTAACTGTCGATAAGCCGCTAACATTATACACGTGTGTACGCATGAACGAGCAATATTATTGCCGAGTCAAAATAAAGCTTAAATTTCCTTTCGGTCTTTATTACGCAGTAAAACCTGATTTCGACAGATTGATGTCGGCTTCCCGTCAAACGTAGGTCGGGGATCTTTATAGGTTGTAAAAGAAGACATTTACGATCCATAAAGGCGCTCGTGGCAGGAGTACTTCTTAGTCTTCTATCTTTCCTTACTTCTCTCTGTATAACCATTATCCCTTCTCTTTTGAGTCTCCGACTGAGCGGCCACTGGCACGCGCCCGCCCGCTTCGAGATTTACAGGTTACGCTCCCGGTAACACCTCGTAAACTTGACTTAACGACTTTAACCGGGCCTAACTGCTTCCTTCCTGCAATCAGACCCTGACCTACCATGAATGGACCACATAGAGACATGTATACCACCAAACTTGAACTTTGTATCATCTTCTCGTATCGCCGCTCACGCGTTGGCCTAATTATAATTCATAATACTCGTCTTCTGGCCACTTACCCCTTTTTATGCCTTCCAAAAATTATTTATTATCCATAGAATTCATACGCAATTTGACTTTTCGTTATGCCCATTTTACATACGAATTCTTATATTATCTCTACGTGCATTAATCGTTTAAGAATTTGTATACTTCTCTTTTTGGACCTTTATCCACCTGCTCGTGTAACGGTTTATCGAGCGCACTCTCGCTGTTCTACGATTTGTTTTGATTGCGCTTCATTACCATTTTACGCCTTTCGCCGTCCGTAACGACTATTAATAAATCTCTTTTGTTGATTTTATCGTGACATTTATGAACGTCGTTATTAGGTGATACCACTTGAAACATCGTAGAGTCTACGCCTTTGCCGCCTGGCTCGGTTTTATACCTGGAGTGGGGAGTACTGTGTGCCCACAGTGGTGGGGAGGCCTATGAGTTGAGCGATTATCCGCTAGATCGCGCTGTTATGTCTCACGTATCGCCATACTGCGCATACACTAGACTTCTCTATATTATGCAGGGTGAATCATTCAACGTTGAAAAATAACACCCTGCCCATTTTGTCCGTCGGGTAACACGACACGAAATCTTCCTTTTACAGTAATTTATACGAAACGCAAGGTTATCTTAATCAAACAAAAAAGTAACAAAGCTCCAAATTCATTCCGGTCACTGTATATTTTAAACGCTCCAATGTCTAAGTTAAGACAACAAGTCTACCCTGAAACACAAGACTGCAGAGATAGGACTTTTTCCTACGTACCTAACCACTTAAGTAGGCCTCGATATATCACCCTTTTGTACCGTAACATCCGGAGCGACGTTTTATTAAAAAGTAAAGTTAAAAATTCAATCGCAAGCGGTGGGTTTCATTAAAAATGTGTGCACCATATTTGAGAGTTCATCGTGGCAAATGGAATTTACGACGTTGGCTACCACGTAAAAGTTGAACCG